TGATGCAAACTCACACTTTTAGTGAGAAGGGTGACGATTTTTGATGAAACAAAAATTGAGTTATCGTAGGTGCTAAATACTAAGTGGAATGCTATTCAAGGTTAGAGCAGTCACCATAACTTGTCAAAACCCAAAACTGTCGTTTACTGAATGCTTATACCGATTCATCTCCGCACCGTTGGAATTCGTTTGTAGAACCAATATAATATAATATGATACATGATTGTCCCGTTCTAAAGTTTACCATGACGTATCATGAATACCCGGGACTACGAACGATGAAGCGGTGGAACCCCCTAGGTTTACGCATATCACACCAGCGACTGATTAATGTTCACTAAAGAATAACCACATCGCTACCAATCAAGCAGAATACAATGAATATGCACTACTGTTGAGCTCCACGGAGAGCAAAACAGGAGTCTAGTGCTTCCGAGTGCATGGTTGACTAGAAGAATTGAGGATTCTGCGTGAAGATGAAGTCCGACAGGTGGTCAGTTCATATCACTATTGAGATTCGCGAACAATTCGTGTTTGAAGTTTATCTCTAAGCGCATTATCCTAAAAAGGACGAGACAGCTGTTTGTCATCACAATAAATCCAAATAGCAAAAAGCGCGTGCAACGTGTAATGATTACAGAACCATCAAATAGGGAAAATTCACACCCACAACCATAAACAGTATTTGGTGTCTGGAATTAGGTCAAACAAACAAAAATGTGAAAACGTAGCACGAATTTTCTAAGTGTGTGAATGCTTAAATGAAGGTAGCTTCTACGTGGTTCTAAAATGCGTTATCATGACGTTCAGTAGTGACATCCTAAAATAAGCTCTGTTTGGATGAGTTGGCTGGGACACGACAAAAATTAAGGAATTCATAGAACAATGTGAGCATTACATGTGAGTTATCCCTTCATTAGAATATTTGTTATACGCACAAAATATTGCATGCTCCTTATGGTGGCAAACATGTTTATTTTGTCACGTTGCTCAAATTCTTTCTTCGCTTGCGTTTTCATAACGATTTTTCAAACCGCAGGGTGCACATCTGCCTGCACAGTGGAATGATTCAGGACGCACCGAAGAACCAGATGTTTGGCCTCTATTCTCTGATTGTTTTGCCATAGTATATTACGTGGTTTCCGATCTGTAGCTTTTCTTCACCTCCTGTCCAAAAACCACCATTCTTTTTTATTGCAACCGTTCAGGTGGAGCTCTGGCCCAGAGTCTGGCAATCATGACAGACGCCGCGCATCTATTGACTGATTTCGCTAGCTTTTTAATCAGCCTTTTGGCCCTGTTTCTCGCCTCGAGACCGTCAACTAAGAAGATGAGTTTTGGGTGGTATCGAGCCGGTGAGTGTTAGGATTCCACAATGGTAATATAAATAGTATGCCAGAATTTTCTTTGAAGTGCAGGTTGCATGTACAGTTCTGAATTGAAACCCAATTTTTGTTGAATTAGGCGTGTAATCTATCAATCCTATCTGTTAGAATCATGATTTGTTCTTTCAATTATATACATAATCCTCCATCACTCACTTGATATACATAATCGTCTATAAGATCAGTCAGGGATGTAAAACACTTATAGAGAATGTAGTTTATAATGCAAACATTCACTGTCTAAATGCAGTTTATGCTACTTGGTTGTACGAAATATCAGAATTGCGGAATTCCGATTTGTGGTGCTTTTTACTTCAACAAAACATTTTGGATGCAAATCAAGCTACTGATAAAATAAATCAGATCCACATTGCATTGTCTGAGGCGAACCATGATAAACAAGTATATTCCCAATTATCTACGTACACGCTGTAACTTGAAGCTGGTCATTATAACTGATAACAAAAAGCACTGTGAAAACGAGTCGGTGAGCAAACAATTGTTTTCGGATACTCCTAGTCATGCTCTTACATATTATATAGTGGAAAAAATTCTTACATATCGATAGCCATCGGCCCAATTTGAGGTAATTAATCAGAGACCGAGAGTAATGCAAGTGTGTGTGTGTGTAGGCATGTTTGGCGTGTTAGTTAATTTGAGACGTTATGTGTCACTTGACCCAAGTGGTGAAAGGTCACATTAACTAACACGCCAAAAATTTCTGTCTTGGTTTCCACACCCGGCCAAGGCAATTGGAGCGCCTGCACCAGTCGCTTCTGGACACACAGGTTGGTGTCTAGTAAGCGAATGGAAGTCGCTTCTGCCATGGCCAATGTCTAAACTCGGGCCGCGTTCGATCGATTGAGTGAGATACGATAAACAAAATCGAAAGCTTTCTCCGGTTCGATCTTGTGCCCGGTGTCGACGAGATGCCCCACAATCGCGCTTGAGATACAGTCGGTTTTCCCCCGACTATCGCGGGTGGTGCTCCTTAACGTGATGAGACAAACGCCTTACCGTACGACCTATGTAACATGCGCCACAGACGCAATTAAAAGAGCAAAGTATCATGGATGAAGAACTACGCTTCATCTGCTAAACGCTGCAGGACAATCGTCATCCGGAAACATAGATCGATAAGAACATGTGGCACTTTAGGGCACTTTACGCCATCCACGGTAACGTCGGCTTATTTTCACCCGTACCGACATCACTGTGCTTTCGCAATTTGACTTTGCTAAAAAACTAATGTTAGGGTACAGAAAATGCACACCTACAGACGCCTATCTGTTCGGTGAATCACATATCCGAACCGGCAGTTGTTCTTTTCCCAATGAGATTATACTCACGGCATCCTCTCGATCGTGGAAACAAAGTGTTACTTCACACCTACTTAAAATGGCGGCTTTTGTGACGGCCCAGCTAAGAACCAACTTGTAGCCCTCCTTTCAGCGTTATCCGTTATTCACTTAGTCATAGGGTCACTTGTGGCAGATTTCCTGACCAATTACTTAGAAAAACATTACATTATTTCACCAGCCCAACAAAGGTTCTGGCAAAGAAAGATCCTGTTCAACCAACGCGCTTCTTGTTCTAGATAAATGAACTAGGACAACCGACGAATAGAGTGTGGTGGATGTGTTTTATTTTGACCTCTCGAAAGCATTTGATTGACTAAACCACCAAATCCTGTCATGAAACCCCTACACTTACAACATTCAGGGTCTAAAAATTGATTGTATGTAAACATTTATCAGAGAGGATCGTATTGGTCCAGTTCTATCAACATCACCGGCGGAATTCCACAAGGTTCTTTAGCAGGTCCGCAGTTTTCTCGCATATTCATAAGTGATCGGCAGAATGTTCTAGAGCCAAAAACAATCCTGTTTACGGAAGGTGCCAGAATCTGGTGTAAAGTAGCACAACCTACAGACTCACTAACCCTCCAGGAAACACTTAACGTAGTCTATCATCGACCTGTGGAGGAGTACATCTTTTCTAAACGCAAAGACTTATATCTCCCTACACCCAAAGGGTTGGTTCCCATATATACTCAGGAATCAACAACCACCACACGAATAAAGTGAGGAATACTTAGGCATCATTGTTCAAGAGGATCTAAACTTTGCGATCAATTGCGCTAGAGCGTCTTCCTCAGTTACGAAGAATGCTTATTCACTCAAGCGTGTCTTTGGTCGGCTAGAACCATCATTGTTCCAGCGTCTGCCACCAGCGTACAGTCCACCATAGGTAGAGTACGCTATCCAATCCTGGAGTCCATCGCCACAAGGTGATCTTAGGACTCCATCAAGATGATCAACGGACTGCATTCCCCCACCTATGTGGAATTATAGTGCACTCCGTGCTGCCTTAGTAGATGAGGCTTAATTTTGATGCATTAAGTACTATCGAAGCCAAATTACTCAAGTAGTCTGCCGCTAACGCTGTCGCCCAACATTACCTCAAGGGACATCATTTAAAGTAAGTGCTCCAGAAATGACAAATGGAATACCAACGCTAATTGTTTATCGTCAGAGCCTTCACCACTTGAAACGCTCTCCCATTTCACGCTGCTTGTGTGCCAAATTTGGAATCAGTTAAGCGAAGACTGGATTAAAATCTCGTGTACCGCAAAACCCGTTATTAGTGAAAACGTAAAAAATGGGGGAAAGCTACATTATGCGATATCTCCATGCCCGGAACAGTCTGTAATCTTTCTCATTTATCACCGAGAAATGGATAAAGTCTGGAAATTTGCTGTGGGACAAGAGGAGTATGAAATCGTAAGTAACTACCATCGAAATATGAGAGAGGGACTGGTAAGTTACACTCTTTTTGGTTCTGATACAACTCTGAACGTGTGAAATGGATAGTACTGTTCAGTGTTGATGTGGTTATCTGAGCGTTGAGAAGGATGAATGAAGCACGACGAGTCAAAGTACATGCAGGCATTTCATCCAGACNCAGACAATGTAACCCATTAGTTTTGGCATCAACCGTGACTGGAGGCCATGCACCAAAGGTCTTCGTTGCATTTAACTTTGTGAAAACACGGGAGGAGTTTTTAAGATCCTCTATAGATTTGGTTTGATAAAAATTCGATTTTATGATTCTCTTGAGTTTTCCCGTGCTCAACTAAGCCCGAATAATCAACTGGGCGTGCGGTAACTCTGTCTAACCTCACTGATGTAGATGAATGCATTAAAGACCACATCCTAGGAGGCCGCAGAATCCGTCACTCTATTCTTCAGTTGAAATCAGAATTTTGCTTTCACTTTCGCACCCTAAAATTTCCTATTTACTACGAGTAAGAACCTGTGTTCAATAATGATTGGTATGGTTCCCACTTTAAATAGCAAGTGAACACAAATAGGCTGTTTAATAGCATCTATTTCTGTTAGTTTTTCATTATAACTTTGCGTCGATTAATCGATAAATCGGAATGTATACTCGATAGAATCACCCAAGCGTACTTTCCCAGATCTATTTGCCAAGAAAAGTACTACTCTTTCTTTGAAGCGGAACGAAAGTAAAGAAATGATAACATTGTCGTCTGATGACCAGTCGAAGCGGCATATGAATAAGCCGCTGAATTATTATTGCAGATTAATGGTCAATCAACAGAGTTCGAAAGTTATTGCTCCGAAGGATAAGTGTGTTTGAATCCCATCACGATCAACCTGCTCCCCTATTTTGTGTTGTATGGCGTTCCACCTCCCACCAACGCGCTGGCCATCCAAAATGGAATATTTTAGGTTTTAGTTGTTGGCCTACTAATGAGTAGCGTGATAATATAAATGGTCTTTATCGAGAAACTTCCAAAAATTTACTGCTGCCGCTCAGGAACATGCTGAAAATTAAGACTGTATTTTACAAGCATTGGATGTATATATTTGTCATGGTCGATTTTTGAAAAGTTCAGTAGTCACAAACTAGATTATCAAGATAACTTAACCAAATTAAAAGTGGAATATGCTGTGTTTCACAAAAGGTGTCGGCGCTATCCTAATTTTTGCTCCGTATTCTCAAAGCGAGCAATTTCGCCCAAACAAGTATATTCGCCGAACACGATTTCGGGACATCGGAGACCTTTAGCACATATGCGATGACCCCTAGACACCCAATGAGTCAATTATTTATCAATACCACTGCCAGTTCAGGTATGCATGATTGA